GACTTGCGACCAGAGTCACGGAACGGGTTAAATTCATAAGTAGAGGTACCACTGTACTATAAATACCTTGCAAACTACTACTTAGAGCAACAATCAGACCTTAGCTCTAAGCTCAAGAAGTGGTCTAGAGCTGTTTCTATTCAAGGAGCTAACAACATTCAGGAGGATTATTACTACTAGTAATAAATGTATTTTTATACTACACCCCATACAAAAACCTCTCAAAGTGATTTACAAAATATAAAATATACAATAAAATTAAAAAACAATTTTAAAGTATATAATAAAAAGAAAAGGAAAACCAGAAATAAAAAGCATTCATCTTGAATTGACAAATAAACACTAAAGTGAAAAGATAGGTCTTCAACACACACCTAAAATAGGTAAGCAACATATGTTGTACTCTGTAATTTAAGGCCCCTGCAACAGGCCCTCTTTTTTGTGTAATCAGTGTATTTGTGTATGTCTATAATAGTGAAGGAGGTCCCCAGGTATTCTGGACCAAAGTTATATCTTATAAGTAGAGAGGATACTCCACTCCCATTCCAGCTATAAAGTTGTAATGAAAAAGACTGGAATTGGGGCATTCCACATATAATTATGAATTTCTCTTTATAACTTTATCAACATTTTTAAAAATGGTTGAAAAATAAAAGGATAATGATTTAAAGAGATTTTACCTTGTCAATAATGGACTGCATGTGGGATTTGTGAGACTGGTCTCCATAGAGCAATGAGGACCACTGATCTGGAGCTATCCGCAAACCAGCCTCCATAGCAATTTGTACAATTTGGGAATCATGTTCTCGCCTCAGAGCTTCATATGTTCGGAATTCCTCCTTCAGCTGCATTAGGGAGGAATCCTCATCACGTTTAGTCACCTGGTGGAGACAAAACCATTAAAGTAAGGTAAACTAATAAACCTAAAGAGTAAGTGTACCTACCTAAGTTTCTCTGGTGCAAATTATAATTCTGTGTAACCTACTTTACACTGCACCATTTGTGCAAAAGAAATGCATACAAATATGTGATTTATAAATGGACATAACTAGCAGATAAAGAAGATCCACACCCATTTAAGTTATTTTGTACCTTGAAACAGGAGGCTCTGTAAAGAAGCTGGACAACATGCCCAATGCTGGTTTTAGAAGCCTGAGGAAATCGTGGCTCCAACCTCTGTACCACAAAAAGAACCAAGACTTTTCGAGATAAAGCAGATCCATCTTCTAAAGCTAAAAGAACTAGCTTCAGGGCTTCTTCCTGCATTGCTGGAAAATCAAGAGGAACATGGCAAGATTAATATAGGACTTTCTGAAAGATACTACAAACTTCACAAATTAGCAACTATATTAGAAATTAGAGAAATCTCCAGGTTACATCATGATTATGCTAGAAAATATGACACCCCCCACAGCATAATTTAGTTGTATTAGAAAGAACCAGACAATCTTCACTTTCATATCAATTACTAGTCTATTCCACATGGTTTTAAAAACATCAATGATTGAGTGCAAAGGTAAACCTACAATAGAAAGTAAATGCTAAAAACCCCAAACATATTCTTTACTGTAAATAGTTCTTCATAGGATTAATTATAGTACTGAACATTTCAGTCAAATACATGAAGTCTAATAGGAAATTTGTGAAGATTATGTGGAAAGTCATGTTCAAATACATATTTGTTTTCATAACAGGCTTCTTAATTATTTCTACAATAAAATCATTTGTGCTCAATTATTCTATGCTTATTAAAAAGATGTAACTGCTGAACTATAGTTCATAAAAATCACTAAATATGTTTAAAAATTTTGAATGGAGACTCTTAATGAGGAATCTGAGCAATCATTTGCCCCAGGGAAAATAATACAGGTAGTCCTTGCTTAACAACTACAACAGGGACCAATTGTTAATTGGTTGTTAAGTGGGGCAGTTGTTAAGCGAATCAGACCCTATTTTATGACCTTTTTTGCGGTGGTCTTTAAGCAAATCACTGTGGTTGTTTAGCAAATCACAGTTCCCCACTGATTTTGCTTGCCGGAAGCTGGCTGGGAAGGTCACATATGGCGATCACGTGATCCCAGTATGCTGCAACCGTCATAAGTGTGAGCTGGTTGCCAAGTGCCCAGATCACAATCACATAACCGTGGGGGTGCTAGGACAGTCATAACTTTGGGCATCACTCGTAAGTCACTTTTTTTAGCATCACTGTAACTTTGACCAGTCACTAAAATGAATGGTTGTTAAGCGAGGACTACCTGTATAGCTACTCTGTTAAAAGTTAATCAAAGTCTATTTTATGTCTAGATGGGTAATCATCTGGCAATGTTTCAAGCTCCATAGATAACAGGTGATGGGATACAGATGCAACAAAACAGAAGAAAAAAAAAATAAATGTAAGTGGTCCCATCTTTGGCCTCCTGCATTAAAAACTGCCAGCTACTCCTTAGTTTACACTGAGTAAGTACATAGCGGGATAGTTGGAAGTTATATTACTGATGTTATATTTTTTTTAGTTTTGTTTCAATAGCATGCTTTGAATTTTACAAAATAAGATATGTTATATGTAACATTTCATAGAATCTACATTTCATGCCTCTCTTTGTTATAGTAAGGTTTCACTGTTTGAAAACCAAAATCACACATGATCTCTGAAATCATTTTGTTTATTCTCCTGAGTGCCTCAAGTTTCCCACTAAAATTATTTTTAATAATTTATATAATAATTAAATACACACAGGAGAGTAACCTTATTCACCATTTTAAATTCAATTAATAACATTTAAATTCATTAAATATTTTTTCCATAAATGCATGTTCTGTGAAGCTTAAACAGATTTCTTAAGTTAGTTCCCCTAGCAAGTATTTTAGTTTTCTAAACACATAAACATCTTTCCATTATTATGGTTGTTGTTATTATGTCAAATGCTAATTGGTATTACTCAGGTTAGGTCTTGTTTCTTGTTCAGGTGTTAGAAATTTTGTGGATTACAAAAGAGCCATGTAATACTGCCTGGAATCAGAAATACTGAAAAAGACAGTTATATTGCAGTATTTAATAATGAATGAATAATGTGAGAAGTTAAACGTGTTATTCCTTGCAACTAAGAAGTGGGCCTTGAGTGTACCTTTGTGGCCCTAAGGCAGGAGTCACCAATTGCTGGATGGGCATTCTGAAACTGAGGTCCACATGTCTGAAGGGTGCCCAGCTAGGGGAGGCTGCTAGGAGGGCCTGGGGCAACAACAAACCCTAGAAGTTGGTGCTGAATTGTAATATTGAATTTTTACAATTATGGTAGGGAACATTATTGAATATTACTTTATATTTTTTCTTGAGGTCTGAACTTTGCTAGTTTATACTTGACTTTTTCCTGGATTACTTTATCTGGGTACTGCTGAAGCCTGCACTGAATCTTTTGGACTGATCACAAAACTGTTTCTCTTTATCAATTTAATCATAGGCCATCCTACTATACAGCTGAACATTCATAGGGTGTTACATCTACTTAGCTGAACTTAATTAATACTATCATAATTCTGCATGTCAGAATTATTTCATGTATCAATTTATTTCACATTTTTCCAAGTACTTTAGTAAAAACTCCACCATAATCAAATCTGTGCACTGTAAAATAGGAAAAAAACACACTAACATTAAAAACAAATTAGTTGTTTTAATGCTTTCAACTGATCAAATATAGAAAATATGTAAAGTGTTTCTGTTCATATCAGCTCTGATCTTCTCAACCAGGGGGAACACTTTTTCCTGATATATACCTGGTCCAAGGAACTGACAGCCTCTAGCCCTCACTGCAGCCCAAAGATTTGAAGATAGTTGCTGGGGATTCTGGTGCTGAAGAATAAGCTCAGTAACAGTTCTTTCACCCAGGGATCGTGCTGCACGCATAGCTCGGATCCGCCCTTCTTCTTCCACCAGTTGGCAATGGACTAATGTCACAAGCTTCCTTTGCATGGGGCGACTAAGCACACTCTGAGTTGTGCTGTTCAATCCCACACCTTTACAAAGAGAAAAAACCTGGAGTTATTTCTGATCTTGAGGGCAATGCAAGAGTTGCATACAATCCATTTGGGGCTGATTATTTGAATAGCATGCAAGAGTTAAAGATTTTATGACATTTAGATCTGCCGAGGACAATGTTTTATCCGTACATTATACTTCAAAGTTTGCCTTGAAGTTGTGTTCATGTGTAAATTAGCTGCTGTAAAACAAAAACACCATTCCTACCAGTTGGAAGTGAACTGGTTCCTTTCAGGACACTAAGTGTCATAAATGCCACACAATGATACAATAAAAGTGGAAGAAGGTGGGAAGGGAAGAAAGCTATGAGGTAGGGTTTTTTTGCATTTTTTTCAACACTATTTGCTTCAGCACTTAGAATTGTTTTCTTACTTCATTCTTAACATGTCTCATTATATTAAAACATGGGAGGAGGGTAACAAGCACTATTCACCTCTTGCACTGCTGAGCGGTTTAAGGTACAAGGCTAGTTCTTCCACACACTTCCTAGCTTCCTCATAATGTTTAGTATCTTCAGCACCACTGCGTAGAGTTATCGGCTGCTGTTCTGGCATCTGTAGAAAACATAAGAATATTACAAATACGTTAAGAAATACAGTGGTACCTCGGGTTACGAACGCCTCTGTTAATGAACTTTTTGGGTTACGACCAGCTCCAGCCGCAAAAATTTACCTCGGTTTGCGAACTCCGCCTCGGGGTACGAGCAGGATACGTGGCCATTTTCCCTCCCATGACATGGTCCACGGCCATTTTCCGCCCGACACGTGGTCCGCGGCCATTTTCCGCCCCTGACACGTGGTTGTAGGGAGAGGGACTCTCCCTCCAAGCAATAGCCACCTCCCTGTCCTCCACGCCAGAACGGATTAACGGT